CTGAAGTGCCAATCCTTCAACAAGTTTATCTCATCTCTAAAGGAGTTTATTGCTGTCATAAACTGAGACTTGCAACATTTTGCAAAGCACCCACTCACTGAGTTCTTCACTTGCCTCTAACAGCTATGTCCCAGACAGCAACACTTGCAATATGTTCTTTTCTCGTGGCTTTATTAAAAAACTTGCTACTTGATTTTTTTCCCTTCTTGTTTTATCCTCTCCTTTTTTTTTTTTTTTTTTTTTTTTTGCAAAGCCTTGTTTAGATCATGTTTCTGGCAGCCATACTCTTCAGGTTGTGCAGCTGAAAAGGTCTGTGTGACCACTAGCCCATGCAGTCTTTTTAATGTCATCATCTTTTTAATATCTTGATTTCCTGTCACCTGAGACCCTTTTCTTCCCATTGGATCTCAAAGATAAAGTGCACAGTCAACACATAAACGTGGCACAGGTTTGGATTTGGCTTCACTGACCCATCTGCAGTGACACCCTTTAGTTTCTAGTTCATTCTCAGCACTTACCCGTGTCTGAGTGGTTCAGGTGCTTTCTCTCTGTGTTTACTTGCTTGATTTCATTTCTGCTGCTCGAGATTTCTTCTGCAGTAGCATCAGGTGGGGCTGAGCAGGACAGTGCAGCACTGGTGTGTTAAGGGCTGCCAGGGGGAATCTTCCAACCCTTGGTAGCAAGTACTTCTGTGGCATTTGTTAGTTTTTACAAGATTTCAGTGTGAACCGTTGCAGGGCAGTCCCGGGTGTGCTCGGAGTCTGGGTGGGATCAGGATGTGGGTGCAGCCAGGGCTGCCCAGATCCTCAGCTCTGACCCCTGAGACAATCAGGATGCTCTGCAGACCCAGCTGTTCTTTGTTCCCCTGACACAGACCTGAGTGTTGAAGGGAAATCGGTGAAATTAATTGGAAAGGGATGGGAAGGAGCAGAGGCAGAGATAGCTGGGGGGAAATTCTGCTTTGCTGTGTGCTCAGAGGAGGGACTAAAAAACTAAATTACTGAGGGATAGAGGGGTAAACTTAAGAGGGTGACCAAAGATAGAGCAGTAAACTTTAAAGAAGGTGTTAAAGACTCTGTGCTCTCCTTTCCTGTGCTGTTGTCACTTCTCCCTGTGCTCTCTCCTGTGCCAGGATGCCCAAAGCAGGTACCACGTGGGTGTTTGCTACGAGCAGGGCCTTGGGGTGCAGCAGAACCTGGCAGAGGCACTGAGACACTACAGGGAGGCAGCTGCTGCTGGGAACAGGCATGCCCAGGAGAGACTGAAGCTGTGGGAAGAGGAGCTGGAAGGTATCACAGGGTGGTGGAGGGTGTGGCTCTCCAGGGGGACTGACCCCATAATAGTGGGGCCTGTATTGCCAGAGGAAGGGTCACGTAGGGCCATGGCACTAAGGAGTTCTTTTGACTGAAGGGAAGGGACTACTTTTCAGTTACTTACACTTCTGACCACCTCTTTCTGGCCCAGCTGAAGTGGAGAAGCCATTCCCATAGTCTGATGTGCCACAGAATCATTTAGGGTGGAAAAGACCTCTGAGATCATTGAGTCCAACCTTTCGTGGGTTGGATGGGGCCCTGAGCAACCTGGTGTAGTGGAAGGTGTCCCTGCCCGTGGCAGTGGGGTTGGAATGAGATGATCTCCAAGAACCCTTCCAACCCAGCCCATTCTGTGATTAATATCTCATTTTTCTGTCCTTTCAGATGTGCAGGCAAAGCATCCATTCCCTTCAGGAATACGAGCCTCTTCCTCGAGCCCCAGTTTCTGGGCTCTGGAGCCTGTGTCTGCAGATCTCCACAGCACCCAGCCAGGATGTGCCCTCCCCCTGCCCCACTCTTGGAGCACAGACAGACTCCATGTGATGCTGCTGAGCAGTGCAGGATGGAGCCGTGCCTTCGGACACAGGACAGTGCCTCTGGAAAGGCAGTTCTGGGAGCCCCATGGCTGCTGTTCCTAGAGCAGGCAGTAAGTGACACCAGCACAGGAGAAGGCAACCCTTAGTCTGTGTGGGGCTGGAAGCCCTTAGTCTGTGTGGGGCTGGAAGCCCTTAGTCTGTGTGGGGCTGGAAGCCCTTAGTCTGTGTGGGGCTGGAAACCCTTAGTCTGTGTGGGGCTGGAAACCCTTAGTCTGTGTGGGGCTGGAAACCCTTAGTCTGTGTGGGGCTGGAAATCCTTAGTCTGTGTGGGGCAGGAAGCAGACTGGCAGGGATTGGAAAGGGAAAGCTTCCTGTTCATGAACAGGAGCCATTTTTAAGCCTCGGAGGTTTGAGAATAAACTTTGTGATATTCCTACACCACCATATCATCTGGTCCTCTTACCTTCCAATACAAGGATGTTGCTTTATGCACCTACATTTCTGGATAGAGCAATGTATAGACTCATGGCACAGGTTGCCCAGAGAAGCTGTGGCTGCCCCTGAATCCCTGGAAGTGTCCAAGGCCAGGTTGGACAGGGCTTGGAGCAACCTGGGCTAGTGGAAGGTGTCCCTGCCCATGGCAGGGGGGTGAATGAGATGAGCTTTAAGATCTCCTCCAGCCCAAACCATTCTCTGCCAGCAACCATTCACTGTGATGTGATTTGAGATTATAATTCCAGTAGCCCTACATGTCCTGTACAGTCCCCCAGTGAGGTTTACAAGCCATCATATGGTGATGTTGGCAACTAACCCTGTGATGGGTCTGGCCCACACTCTCTGAGGCAATTTGCTGTCTCCTGAAGGCAAGTTCCTACAGTGGCTCTGCTACCAGCACAGTCTGAGCTCAGCTCTACGTTGCTGTTTTAATCTGCTTCCAAACCTGTGCAAGTAAGAGAGTGAATTCTCATTATTAGGACACAGGTTTTTTGGGATATGACCTGTACCAGTGAGAGTGACAGCTGCCCTCAGCCATCCTGCACCGTGGCCTTCAGTCCCCAGTTGTCATTCCTTCAGCCCTGGCAGTGAGCTGCTCCCGTGGGTGCCACCCTCTGAGTCACAGTGAGCAAGGTTTGCTTCAAAATGTGTATTGGACATGTTTGCTGAGCACGCCAGCCTGTTTCCAGTCAGTGGATAAGGGGTGCTCCCAGCGGGAAGGCACCACTGGCAGGCAGCAGCAGGCAGCTGCTGGGATAATTCCTTCCACTGGGGCAGCTGGATCCGGAAAAAGGCATTTGTCCACACCAGTGTAAACTGGTTCAAGGGCATCTGTGCAAACTGCCCAGCTTCCTGTGGCCGTGGTGCTTGGTGCTTTGTATGGATGAGGCTCTGGAAAACAAAGGCAATGGCCCCATCCTGAACTTGCTCTGGTCTCCATTCAGCAAGGGAGGGGCACAGCCAGCCCTCAACACATCTGATTGTTCTTCTAGTCTGGTCTCTCTTTCTGCTCAGACCAAGCTTTCTTCGACCATTTCCTTTATCAAGCAGGATACAATTAGCAGGAAATTCCTGGGGTGGATTTCCTATGCTGTGATAACCCACAGCGTGCTTACGCACTGGGCAGCTCGGGGCAGGGGCTGGGGGGTTGAAAGCAGGATCAGGAAATTGAACCAAGAGGGAGGAATTTGTCTCCTTTTTAATCTGCTTATTCTAAGGTATTTTGGCGTGAAGATTGTCCTTTAACAGGCACATGGAAGCAACTCTGCAGAGGAAGGTGTGAGGTTTGTCCTCTGCATGTGCTCCTGAGATGCTCCCACAGGGCTGCATCTCCTCAGTCCCAGAATGCTTCCCTTGTGGTTTGCACAGCTGCAGCTCAGTTGGAATTTGGCTCCCTGTCATTGTTTTGGTGCAGGAACCTGTTTTGTTTGTAAAACAAACCAGCAAGAGATTTCTGTTAGCAAACCCAGGACGAACCCATCGTGTGTAGATGCCAGAGATGGGCTCATCTGTGCAAGCATTTTGGAGGCTCCAAACACAACAGTGGATATTTTGGGTGTTAAACAGTCTACCTGGGGAAATCTTACTCTATTGCTCTTGTCATTTGGTTCCAAGAGCAAGAGAAAGGGATAACTTTCTCATTTACTCTGCTTTAAATGATCTGTATGATTGTCTGGTGCTGTGTATACACCTAAAGCTGGGAACTGTCACCTCCAGGTAAAGGGAAAAGAACATGGGTTGGACACTGTTGAGATGGTCCAGGATTGTGGTACCTGTTCTTTTTCAACTTAACAGCAAAATGCAAGCCAAAAATATCACCCAAAGACCCCTGATGTGACAGCAAATGAGCAAATCTGCTTTGGCCCTGAACACGTTGTGAGCTGGGGTGTCTGTGGTGAAGTCAGTGTAGTGTTTTTGCTGTGAAGATGTGAAGGGAAGCAGGTGAGAGCAGTGCCCTGTGTCACCAGTGACACTGCAGTGCTGGCAGGGAGGTGATGCACACCCTCATTCCCATCTTTGACCCCCCTCCCACCTACACAGCATGCCCCAAATCTTTTCTGGTGTTTTATTCCATAGCTGGAAGGCCCAAACTCTGGTACAGAGAAGAGTCCCCCGTGTGTGCAGGATCCAAAATCCCTTCCCTGCCATCCACACACTGCTGGGGAGCCTGTGGATGCACTGCAGCTGCCTTCCCATTCTCTGTGAGTGCAGATCCACCCTGGGGAAGCACAAACACCTGTGTGCTTCCTCCTTTGTTACCAATATCTTAGTTTTCCCACCCATGCAATTATCCCAAAACTGTCTTACAGCTCACACACAGACAGATCAAAGTGAAAACCCATAATAAGGGTGAAGCTGGAGACTGAATATTTCAAAACAGTGTTTTCACGCTTCCCTTTTCCCAGGTTACCTTTGGCAGACTCCAGCCATCTGTTGTCTGCTTCTGGATAAGGACTATGCTCCAAAATCCAACGGCCTCCAAAGAGAATCGAATAGAACAGAATCATTAAGGTTGGAAAAGACCTCCAAGATTGAGTCCAGCCTTTGTCACCACCTTGTCAACCAGATCAGAGCACCGAGTGCCACGTCCATTTGTTATGGGGAAGGAATTTGTGAGCACCTGGTGCAGCCATAGGAGAGATGCCAGTGCTGATTTTGGGGTGTTTAACAAAATGCAAATTCACAGTGGTAGAACCACAAAAGCTGGAAGGATCAGTGGGAGACAACAGGCACATCCTCTCCTTTCCCAGCTGCCATTCCAGGCTTCCTGCACGTTTGTCAGCTACACTGCACCTTGTTCCAGAGAGGGTAATGTTAGAAAAAAAGTTTTATTTAAATAACTGAAATCCTGGAGCCCAACTCTGCAGCACATGTCAGAGTCCATGACAGGTATCTGGATGTCCGTGGTGCACAGTCTGATCATGTGGACGTTCCTTGCTGTGCTGTTGTTCCAACAACCCCCCATCCCCTCATAGCCTGTCCTGGGAGGAAGGGGTGACCTGAGTGTGCTGGGAGGCTGGAAGGGGAGGAAGGCAAGGACAGGCAGGTAGAGGGCAACTAAACAAGGTGAAATCAGTGATGGAGAAAGTTGCTGGGGCGAGGCAAAGGAAGGACCATGCCTGTTGGGATTGTCTAGACATGGGCGATACAGTGACCCTGCTGGAGCCCACGTGTGCACCCAAGGCTCTGTCTGACTCCCATCTCCTTCTCACAGGCACCAGCAGAACCTACAGAACAGCAGCAGTGTCCTCCAGCCCCAGGCCCTTCCCACGTGCCGACAGCTGCCGCAGGAGCCCCGCGCCTGTCTCGCTGTGGACTTGGACCTTCTGGGACAGAATCATTTCAAAGAGGGTGCTCATCTCCGACAGGAAGGTGCTGGTCAGCCTCGTCCCAGCAGCGCTGGAGTCAGCCCCAGCACCTTTGCCAAAGGTCTCAAAGGTCCTTGGTTTCTCCTGCCTTGCGGCCTCCTCCTCCTGAGAGGAGTGGGGGTTGTCAGGGGAGAAGACGTTGTCCTTGTAGCTGCTGGTGAGGGGGAAGGAGAGCCGGGCCATCCACGCCGGGTCTGCAGCCGTGAGCCTCTTGAGGGCCAGCTCTGAGGGAGACAGGGAGCAGAGGAGACCACAGGAGAGAAGAGAGGGAAAAAAATCAAATAAATAAAATTGATTAATGAGAAGATCTCCTGAAATCAGTGAGAGAAGTGATTGTAAACAGGTCTAGGGAGAAACTACCAAATCATACAACCCAGCAGCTTAGTAAAACCAAGCAAAATAGAACTGGTTTAAAACTACTGGGGTTTTTTGTTTTGTGTTATTGTAATAACCATTAGAATCACTTTGCTTCCTCATTTGTTGCAGCCTGGAGTGGCACTTCACTAAATTGTTAGCAAAGCCAGAGAGAGGGAGGGTTTAGGACTGGCTAAAGGGGAGCTGACAATGGAAATCTTGCAAGGGGGAAGTACTGGACACAAAGATAGTGGACTTCCCTTCAGGGTCACTCCAGGGGGGGAATTTGCTGCTAAGCAGGCAGATTGAGACTGAGAAGAAATGGGTTATTGTGAAAACAATAATAGCAGAATGAAATTCTGGATTATAAAATGCACAGCTGGGTGGTTGAGCACTAGTAACAAACAATTGAGCTATAAAGTGGTTGTTCCTCGATTGGAAACAGCTGAGGAGCAGTGGGAGCCTGGGCTGGGGGTTGGGGCAGGCTCCTTAGTGCACCAGTAATGTGATTTTGTCCCAGAAATGGAATCATCCAGTGTGTTGGTCAAGGTATGAAGGCATATCCATGGTATTGTTACCGGGTCTGGGGAGACATGATTAGGAGAATTACACACAAATCTGATTATCCATCCAGAGGAGAGGGGAGCCGGAATGACACCAGGGTAGGGAAAACTGGGGATGAAAGCAGGAGTGATCCAGGATGACATGATGGACACTCCAAGAGTGGGGGTTACTGCTCCTAAGGAAGCAAGTGCTCCCCAGGGCCCTGCTGCAACCTGCCACTATTTTGAGGAGACAAGCACCGGCAAAGGAAATCTTTAGGCTTAAAATAGTGCTGGCAAAAGAAGAAGTGATTACAACTGTCCATGAATAAACATCTCCTGGAAAAGAAAGGAAGGACCCCAGAGCAGGGAGAGCCTGGAATAGCTTCCCCGTCAGACGGCAGGAAAGGAAACGGGGGTTCTTGTTTTCTGAGGTAGTTGGTAAACAAGAGTCCGTGCTGAGGAGCACAGAGCTGCCTTCCAGCCCCACGTTGTTCCTTCCCAAAGCATATCCCAGAACCCCTGGGGGGTTGGAAGCGACCACCTGGTTTGTGAAACACTTTGAGAGCAGTAAAACAAGTCACAGGTGTCTGGTAACAAAACACAGCAGTCCCAGGGTGGCCAGAGCTGGTGTCACTAATAATTGTGTGGCTCTGACTCGTACAGTGACCTCTGGAAGGAGGGTCTCCATTCTGATGCAGTTATCCTGCTGCTTCCAGAGGATAATCAGTATCCTCTCCCAGCCTGGGACACAGGGTCCCCACTCAGTGACTGAGACAAGGCTCCTTCCTCAGCCAACCAGTCCTTTTTCTCTGAAAAACTGCTTTCCTTGCGTGGAATGGGGGTGAGAGCTGGGACTCAAACCTGGTAAGGAGAGAAGGGCAAGTACATCACTTAGGTTTTTGTTTCAGATGAAGCCCCAAAATTCTTTTGCGTTGCTTCACTTCCAGGATTTCTTTCTGCAATCTCAGTATTCTTTCGGTCACAGTGACTGTTCCTTAACACATCACCCAAGAGTGCTGCAGCCCCGTGGTTTTGCTCTAAAACACCCAGTTTTCTCCTCCCAGTCTGCAAGAAGCCACTGCATTCCCTGAATATTTGGATGCCTCAGCTCTGGAGCAGGACACAACCAGTCTGCTCCCTGCTGGGAGAGCCACGACTCCGTGGGCTGATGGTCCTGTGGCCATGAAACATTTTGATTAGGTTTGTTTAATTTGACTAATAACTCTTTACTGCCTTGTTTTAATGGTGCTTTGAGAGCAGGGGTTGTTTTTATCATCAATAAAGTTCTATCTCTCATCTGCTGCTGGGAGAGGCTGTGCTTGGCTGGTGGGGGTCGGCGTTAACAGAGGGGGCCGAGTTCATCCCGCAGCATAAACAACCCCAGAGCTGCCTGGGACTGATTAATCCCACAGTTCCTCCTGCTGGGAACAGCACAAAGGCCCAGACAGCCTCAGCCAGCTGTTAAGATACTCCTGAGCCCAAGCAAAGCTTCCTTCCTCCCTCTCAGGATGCAAGTCCACTTCTCTGTTTGTGTTTGGGAGAGGAGGAAGGAGCCCGGCAGCTCCAGCGTCTGCGCCCTGTCGCCTTCTCGGGAAGCTCTGGGCTCATGGTGAGGGTTTTTCACCACTGGAACAGGGCAGCCTCCTTGGGAACGGCCAGCAGGAAGCCACATGGGCACAGCCTCAGCATTCCCTGCTGGCATTCACTGAGAAATGGAACACAGTTCCTTCCAAAAAGAACCAACTTGACATTGTCACGATGGGGAATCGTGCTCTGCAAACTTGTCAGGGTCTGGATGAAGAGTCCTGGATAACTTTGGACAAGGGCATGGAGTGATAGAACAAGGGAGAACACACTGACAGACAGCAGGGTTAGATGGGATATTGGGAAGAAATTCTTCCCTGTGAGGGTGGTGGGGCACTGCCCAGGGAAGTGGTGGAATCATCATCCCTGGAAGCATTCAAAAAACATGGATGTGGCACCTGGGGACACGGGTTAGTGGTGGACCTGGCAGTGCTGGGGTGATGGATTCGATGGTCTGAGAGGGCTTTGCCAACCTTAATGATTCTGTGAAGTTCCAGTACTTTGGCAAAAGGGTTTTTTCCTACCAGATCCAAGAGTGATGTGAGATGTTATTTCATGGATCTGCCCCACCACAGCATGGATTTTCTAGGATGCTCCTTGTGGGCAGGACTGAATCCAGACAGAGATCCCTTTAGTGGGATGGGTGCCTGTCAGTGCACCATGAGATGCACGTGGGCTCCTGTTCACTCCCTGCCCTTGGCTGCAGGACCTTTAAATCCAAAAACCTTTCAGCTCTCATTTTACCCAGCCTTTCCTTCATTTACTCCTTACCAGAATAAAACAGCAGGGAGGCAAATGGGGAGAAGCAGCCGGTTCTCTCCCTAAGGAAGAGCACCAAAAATGCCCAACTCTGGAATTAAAACCACCCCAGCAGCAAACCTCAACGAGTTCCTCTTCTTCCACAATGAAATTTCTGCTACAGGACATGAGTCAGCCCAACTCTTTCAAATTGAAATGCCAGTAGAGGAGATTTTTAGAACAAATCAATAAAAGGAACATGTAGAAAATGTCAGGCCCAGATGGTATTCACCCCAGAGAGCCAGAGGAACTCAGATATGAAATTGCCTGGTTTATTAGCTGCTGTTGGTTAACTACTGCTTCAAATGAACAGGGATCAGAGGAAGGGAAGGAGAAATTGTGACAGGAGTTTTTAAGCGTGCGAAGGTGAATCTGGTGTGGGCAAATTCATAGAAATCCTCCTGTGCCTGGTTCAGCACAGGGACAAGGAGGTGCTGTTCCAAAGGGAACCAACGTGACACTGTCAAGGCAGGGAATTCTGCAAATTTGTTGGAGTCTTTGGAAGGGCTGGATGAAGAGTCCTGGGTGACTTTGGACAAGGGCATGGAGTGACAGGACAAGGGGGAATGGCTTCAAACTGCCAGAGGGCCAGGGTAGATTGGATTTTAGGAAGAAATCCTTCCCTGTGAGGGTGGGGAGACCCTGGCACAGGTTGCCCAGAGAAGCTGTGGCTGCCCCTGGATCCCTGGAAGTGTCCAAGGCCAGGTTGGACGGGGCTTGGAGCAACCTGGGCTAGTGGAAGGTGTCCCTGCCCATGGCAGGGGGTGGCATGAGATGATCTTTAAGGTCTCTCCCAACCCAAACCATTCCATGATTCAATTCTATGATGACAGAGGACACCTGAGCTGGTGGAAAAGCACCAGCCAGGCTCTCAGGGACCTGAGCTGTCCCTGAATCAACAGCCAGGGACTAATGTGTGTTAAAAGCTGGGAAGTGAGGGTAGGAATAATTAATCTTCCCCACCAAGGGAGGTCATTAGCAGAGTCCCAGAGTATCTGCTCATCACAGTGATAAATGATGTGGAGAAGGGGACAGTGTTGGTGTCGACTCTACAGAAACACCCAAAAGCAGAGGGTTGTGAAGGACCTAATAATGCTGAGAGCCGTGAGTAACACGTGGCTGGTGGATTTCTGTGTCACCAACTGTTGGACAATTGTCCCAGGGAATAACATGTCATGTACTGATGACTCTCCCACCATGCAGAGGAGGGGTTTGGGAGTCACCCCAACAGTCTGGTGACAGAGCTTGTGGGGAGCTTGGGCAGTACAGGAATGAAGAACAAACCGGAAAACCTCCTTGTACCCCCAGTGGCTCCTAAACACTGGACACAATTCTGGTCACCACATCTCAGTAAGGAGACACTAAAATTAGTAGCAGGTTGGTCACTGGAGATGAGACTGGATTAGAGGAAAGGGGAGCCTGATGGGGCTTGACAAGGACAACTCTCCACCTTTCTCACTCTGCATGGACTAGGAGAGCATGAAAAGGAGGGGCTCGGGTCAGGGTGGGAAGCAGATCACCAGGTGCAATGTTAAACTGGACTTCACCCCTACACAACAACAGAGCTCAGCCTCACACATCAGCTAAACAACAGCAGAGACATCCAGGAGATCTTTCATAAACACAGGAACAAATCCAACATGAAGTTCAGCAAGTGCCTTTTTGCTGGGCACTGCCTGGTACTGAAAGCCTGGGATGGTCCAGCCATGCTGTCCCAAGCATCTGCCACTGTCAGAGACACTCCAGGAGATGAGATGTCCCCAGGCCAGCCAGTTTGACCTCCTGAATGGGGTTAGTGTGTTATCTGAGGAGACCCCAGTGCCGTAACCCCCACCAGCCCCAGCGTTCTCCCAGTGGCAAGGCCATCTCACCTGCCTGTGGCTCCAGGAGGGTCTCCAGTTCCTCTCCCACCAGCTGCGGCACCGAGAGCTCGAAGCCGCTGTCGGAGTCGCGGTCCTCGGCCTCGCTCTCGCCGTGCCCGCTGTCCTTCGTGCTCTGGCAGTCAGTGTCCAGCCCTGCAGCCCTGCCAGGGGACACAGCACCCGAGTCACTTCAGCTCCCACCACAGCCCCTTGAAGGTGTTTGTGTCAGTCCCCCACAGAATGACCCAAGGAGGGGGTGTGGGCACCCTCTCGGAACCGAAGGCACACTGATTTCAGTCCCCACTAAGAAATCCATTTGGGGGTTGTTTGGGTTACACAAGGGGCTGCTATACATTTCTTCTGTCCTTCTTCAAGGAGATCATAGAATCACAGAATGGTTTGGGTTGGAAGTGACCTTATAGCTCATCATGCTCCACCCCCTGCCATGGGAAGAGACACCTTCCACTAGACCAGGTTGCTCCAAGCCCTGTCCAACCTGGTCATGAACACTTCCAGGGCATATCCATAGCAAACAGAGAGCTGGCTCCTCCCTATAAATTCAGAGGAGCTTCCCACCTGCAGGATCAGGTGAGGAACATCACAGCTCTGACCCAGCAGCCCTAGAACCTCTCTCCCTCCCTCTCCATCCTCAGAAGATGCAGATGAGAAAGGTGGAGAAAGTTGTGTCTGCCCATGGCTTGGGCAGGTGTGGATGGGAGGACATCTGGCATCTTCAGGAGTGTTCACCCAGAAATGTCAACAGCATAATTTAATGGGAACACCATGAAGTTTGGCTCTGGGAACATCTTTTGCACACAGCTGGGATATCTCAGTTCTTCCAAACCCGCTGGCATTGTCTCCCTCTCTTGCCTCCTGGCACAGGGAGAGGTGCCCCAAATTCATGTCAACAGCCAACAGCATCTCTATGAAAGTGCCCAAAACCATGGGAAAACTCATCCTTGTGTTGCTGCCTCCAGAGCTGGGCCCCTCTGTGCTCCTGAGTGTCCTTGTCCATTACACTGGAACCCACTGGTTCCCTTACATTGTCCATTACACTGGAACCCCTGGCAAGGACAGGATGGAACTGCCAAAGGTGCCCCAGGAAGGAGGCCAAGGGCAGTGGAATACAACAGGAGCACGGCCATCCCCTGCAGGCAGGACCCACCTGCCCAATCTCAGGGCGAGGCTTTGCTGCCCCAGTGCTGCCCTCGGAGGCTGTTGGGGCTGGTGAGGCCGAAGCAGGGGCAGCAGAGACACGAGGGAAGGGGGCGTGGGAGAGGGAAGGGCCGGGATCCAGCCTTACCTGCTGCCGTTCTTGGCCGTGTACTTGTTTCCCCTGTAGTTTGTTTTGGGCTGGAACTGGCCCTGGTGCAGCAGGGAGAGCAGCTGGGAGATTTGCTGTAAGGCAGGAAAAGCCTGTTGAGCCCCGGCGGTCGCCACTCAAGCTGCTTCCTGCCAGGACGTCCCCGCGGACCCCCCGGCCTTTTTATAGCGTTTCCTCCTCCTGCAGATGGTTCGGCAGCCCCGGGCAGGGGGAAAAACAAGCGGCCGGGAGCCCACCTGGCCCCCCTGCGCCATCTGCCTGCCTTTCCCTGCCCACACACTCCCCTGGGAACGGGAGCACGGGATTGTCCCCTTCTCCCTGGGACAGACACCCTCCCTCCCAGCTCCCAGGGTGTTCTGGTGAGCGTGGGGAGACCCTGCCCGTGGTGGGGTGGATGTTCATCCCACCCAGCACCTCTGCCCAGGGCCGGGGAAGGAGATCAACCAACGACCATCAGGGTGCACATTCCCACCACCCCAGGGTGGGCGAGACTCGTGAAAGGAAGGAGTGGAGGGGTGCACAGCTCTGGGAATGCACAGGGCAGCTCTCACCTGCACTGGGGGTGACTCCATGGCGAACTCCCCCGTGGGGCTCTGCTCTGCCAGGGCCACCAGCGACAGCCGCACCAGGCTCCGGAGGATCTGCTGGTGGGGCTGGGGCTGCCCAGGCCCTCCAGCACCCACGGGCTGCTCGGGTGGCAGCTGGGGCTGTCCCATGGGTGGCTTCACCAGGCTCTTGCTGTGCTTTGGTGCTTCCGGGGGGCTCGCGGCCTCTTTCCCCAAATGTTTGGGTCTGTGGGGCTGGCAGGGCCGGCGCTGCAGGATGGGCAGCTCGAAGGTCTCCTGCTGCTCCTCTGAGTCTTTTTGAGTCCTCTGATTTCTCAGGGTCCTGTAGAGAGTGGGGGTGAGGTGGAGGGGAGGCTGTGGGTAGCCCCCTGGCACAGGGGGGGCTGTGCCAGCTGGATCCTCCTGGCAGGGCTGGGGGGGCTCAACCTCCCGAGGGCGGCCCCGGAGCAGCGGGATGAGGTGGATGTCAGTCTTCTGGATCTGCCTGGGTGGCTTCTTGAGCTGCTGCTGCCTGCGGGCATCCTCTGCCTCCCTGCAGTTGTAGGCCATGCCATCCTTCTTCTCCTTCTTCCGCAGAGACAGGGTCAGAGCCAGGAGGAGAAGGCACCCACCCAGGAGAGCAGCCAGACAGATCACCACCACCACGGAGAGGCTCAGCCACCCGGGGTCCTGGGCTGAGATTTTGGAGAACGCCCCGTGATGCCGGAAAACCAAGCGGAGCCGGGCCAGGGTGTGCAGGGGGGTGTCCCCCTCGTCGCTCACCCGGACCAGCAGCTCCCGCTCACTGCCGGCCAGGCTGCTGGCATTGCTGGCATTGAGGAAGACCTGCCCGGAGAGAGGGTCCAGGATGAAGAGCCCAGCATCATCCCCCCCCACCAGATCATACCGGAGAGCCCCATTGCTGCCAGAGTCCACGTCCCTGGCCACGATGGTGAAGAGGAAGGGACTGCCAGCACATGATACGAGTGTTGTGTTGGTCTCTGCTGCAGCCCCTTGGGTGCTCCTGTTCCCAGGGACCACCCAGAAGCACCCTGTCTCCACACTGACCAGGACAGAGAGCGTGGCTGCACCTCCCACCAGCACTGGCATGGTGATGACGGGCGCGTTGTCGTTGCGGTCGAGCACCGCCAGCCTGATGGAGATGTTGGATGCCAGCTTGGGGTGACCTCCATCCTCCGCAGTCACCAAGAACTCCAAGCTACTCACCTGCTCATAATCAAAAGCCTGGAGGGCAAAAACATCCCCGGTGGTGGGGTCGACTGAGACCAAAGCCGAAGCGGAGGAGTCTGGGATGCTGTAGGTGATTTTCCCGTTGAAGCCCAGGTCGGGGTCAGTGGCACGGACAGTGAGCAGGAAAGCAGGTGCTTCGCTGTTCTCAGCAACAGCAGCCTCGTAGTTGGCCCTGTCGAAGGCCGGGGCGTTGTCATTGACATCACTGATGCAGATGGTGAGGTGTTTGAGCACGGCCAGGGACAGGTCCCCCAGGTCCCGCACCACCAGCGTCAGGTTGTACTCGGCGCGCAGCTCCCTGTCCAGCGCGGCGTTGGTCATCAGCACGTAGCTGTGGCTGTTGGTCCTCTTCAGCCTGAAGTGCTCGTCCCCTTGGCTGAGGGAGCAAAGCACTTGCCCATTGCTTCCTGAGTCAGGGTCACTGGCTGTCACCAGAGCCACAAAGCTGTCCTTGGGAAGGGCTTCGGACAGCACGGGCACCCGCGCGGCCCAGGTGACGTGGACGTCGGGAGCGTTGTCGTTGACGTCCAGGACTTTGACCAGGACCTTGCAGTGTGCTGGGATGGGGTTGGCACCCAGATCCCGGGCCTGCACATCCAGCTCGTAGGTGTGGGTTTCCTCGTAGTCCAGAGGGTGCTTCAGGATGATGCTGCCCGTGCGGGCGTCAACGCTGAAGGTGCTCAGCACCTCGGGGGGCGCGTGTTTGCTCAGGCTGTACTCGATCTCCCCGTTGGGACCCTGGTCGGGGTCGGTGGCCGTGACCGTCACAAGGAGGGTCCCGGGCAGAGCATCCTCCCGAACCTCCACTGTCAAGGAGCTCTCTGCAAAGACGGGGCTGTTGTCATTGGAGTCGAGGACAATGACTTTAATTAAAGCAGTACCTGATTTTGGTGGCTCCCCGTGGTCAGTGGCCGTCAGCTCGAGGTCGAAGGAGGAGTGCAGCTCCCGGTCCACTTCTTTAACCACGACGAGCTCCGCGTGCCTCATCCCATCGGAGCTGGAGATGACCTCCAGAGCAAAGTGCTCACTGGGGGAGAGGGCATAGGAGCAGCGGGCATTGGGGCCAGCATCAGCATCCAGGGCTCGATCCAGCGGGATCCGTGTCTGCAGGGACGCGCTCTCCGAAATCTCCAGCTCCAGCTCGGGCGTGGGGAACCGCGGCGCGTTGTCGTTGACATCCAGCACTTGAACCTCCACGTGGATCAGCGCCAGGTTTTGGGCAGCCAGCACATCAAATGAGACCCAGCAGGGATCACTGTGCCGGCACAGCTGCTCCCTGTCCACCCGCCCAGCCGTGCTGAGCGCCCCGTCCCCGCTGCCCACGCGCAGAGGGAACCTCCCGGGGGTCTCCATCAGCTGGAAGGTCTCCGCTGTGTCGCCGCTCTCGCCCCCCTCGAAGTGCTCAGCCAGTGTCCCAATGACCGTCCCCGGTGGCACCTCCTCGAACACCCGGTACTGCACCGTGAACGTGGCGACCTCCTGGGCGTCGGCGCAGAGGAACAGGTACCACCAGAGTGCCGGGAGCTGCAGGGTGGAACGGCCCAGCAAGAGGATGCTGCTGGCAAAGCTCAGTGTCCCCCTGCCCCGGGGCACTGCCGGGGGCCTGCCCGCCCGCCGCCGCATGGCCACGGAGTCCTCACGGCGACCGTGAGTCCTCGGCATCCTCTCCCATCCCCAAGTCCCACGGGCACCGCTCAGTGGTTAGTGGTTGGAAAGGAGAAGAAATCACAAGCCAGTCTGGTGGTTTTCCCCCTCCCTGCCATCACCGGCAGGCAGTGGGTGCTCCCAACCCAAGGTGCTCCCCAGGCTGGAATGCTCAGCCCGGAGCGGAGGAACCGCCACCGGCGCAGCGTCCGGCCGGCTGGGAGCCGGGAGCTGGACCAGCCGACCTTCCTATGGAAACCACACCTACAGGAAAAGGGAGGACCGGGCTGGTACAATGCTGGGGCGGGGTGGGGGCTCATGGGGCAGCACATGGCCCAGCTGGGAGAGGGGTGTGGATGTGCCCTCCATTCCCAACCTGCAGGGACCATCACCTGCCTGCTGCCACCTGCGAAACGCACTGCACTGAAGGTGTGACTCCTGCAGACAGTCCTTGACCTCCCACGAACCTCTTGTGCTTTTGGAAGAGGTCTGTGAGTACCAGCTGTGATGGACAATGCTCCTGCATTGCCCCAAAGCCTTGCTCCCCACACTGTTACATTTCTGACTTGGATTTGCTCTCATTCTGTCCAAATCCAGAGTGCAATCCCTGCTCCTTGCTCTGTCTGTTGAGGGCCCACATCACCTTTCCCAGCACACAGCTTTGGATGATGTCACAGCTTCAGTCTCAGCTGGACACACCAAATTGAGCTGATGAATCACTGGGAGTGTGGCCACAACAAACACAGGCAGGAGGGCACAAGGGAAGGAGGGAGGTGCTGGCAGACACGAGCTGTGTCCTGTCAGGCCTCTCCCATCCCCTGCATCAGTCTGTCCTGGCCAGTCCTGTCTTGGCACGTGCTCCATCCCAGCCTGGCTCAGCACTGATTTCCCCAGTGCCACTCCTCACTCAGCACTGATCCTACACCACCAAATCCCTTCTTGGCCTTATTTCAGCCCCTTACCCCCAGCCCCCCTTGGAGCAGCCAGTGCGAGGCTGCACAGCTGTTCCACCCATACCACCACATCTGGCCAGCTGTGCACAGCCTGAAGTTGTTCCATGTATTCCTCCTAAGCAGGGGCTGCAGAGCACCAGTACCCCAAGCTGGGTTTCCTTTGGCCTCAGGGTGATTGAAGGCATTTGGGACAGGGAAGGTCACGTGGAACTTCTCTTGGCTGTTATGGACTGCAGAGCATCCTCGTGGTGTGGTTGGAGTCCCAACAGCCACATCATCTTCGTGGCCCCCACATCTTCCAGGCAGCCTCCAGCAGCCCTGTGGCTGCCATTGGTGCCCTGTGCCCACCTTGCCCTCTCCTCCTGCTTTTCCAGCCTTGATGGGCAGCCCCCCATATCACCATCCTATTCCCATCCCTCCCAGCTCCCCTCACCGCTCTGATTTTCCCGGCTGAGGTTCCCCATCACCTGCATCCCTGCTTTCAGCATTTGTCTTTATTATGGTGAATTTTAATGCCCCAACAAGCGGCAAAACCAAACCCCCCCCCCCCAGTGCCACCAGCCCGGCCGGGTTTGCGCCAACACTCAGCGCTCCGGGAGGAAGGGACAGTTCAGGGGGGTGGCAGGAGAGCCGGTGCTATTCCTGGGCTCCATCCCAGCTCCAGGTGACCTTTGCCAAGTCATTTCCCTGCTTTGTGCTGTTGCTTCCTCCCGAGCCGAGCACAGCCAGCCCCGGGCTCTCCGGAGGGATGCTCCTGCTCCCGGAGCTGCAGATGGAGCAGCGGATATCTCCCAGCCCATGCCCTGCTCTGGGGGGTGGGAAGGCTACTTCCTTCTGGGGGAGGCTTATCCTTCCACCTCCTTTATTTTTTTTTAGTGCTTTCCCTTTTCAGGGATGGAGAGGAGCAGAAGAACCTCACTGAGACATCACGAGGGAACTGTGATGGTACATCACACCCCAGAACTGGGGGGTTCCCTGAGGAGCCCTGCACAGTGTATCCTTCTCCCATCACCTCCCAATCCATCTGGAGAACAAGCCAACCTCACTGAGTGCCCTGTGTGCACTGATGTAACCGGAGGTGAATCCCCCCAACAGCAGCACCCATGTGCTGACCCCATCCCCACACCCCAGCTGGAGGGTTCCCCTTCGGGCTGCTGCAGCCCCACACTACTCCTTTTTCTCCCCAAAGGCAGGGACCAGGTGGGATTTTGAGCACCAGTTTGCTCAGCCACCCCAGGAAAGGCTGGGAGGAGAAGTCACTGTCACCGACACAGGAGCTGTGACCCCCCAGCACTGAGCCCAGTCTGGCTGCACAGACACAGCACTGGTGACAGACCTGCACAGCCCAGGAAAGGAGCTGGAGGAGCTGCTGCTTTAATCATGACTAGACTTAAGGAATAAATCCCTACAGACCAGGCCTGTGACCCCCAGCCATTGGAACGTTCTCAGCTGGCAGGAAGATGCTGCAGGGCTGCAGAAGCATCACTGGGCTGCAAACCAGCAGTGCAGGGAGATGGACAGAGCAGTGCTGCAAAGAAAAAAGAAAAATGGGGTCAAGTGAGACTTGCCAGGAGCACAGGCAGGAAAATAAGATCTGGTGCTAAAAACAGCACACATCTCCTCCCGTTTCCTGTTCACACCCCAGCAGGTTCCCACCATACAGGTGCTTCAGGACCTCCATGGGCAATGTGGTGCCTATGGACATAAAATTCCCCACCCCCTCGGGTTCTAGGATGCATGTGAATATTTTCATTTAAAGCTCAGAAAGTGCATCAGTTACATTCAATTATTGCAGCACTATTCTTCAGCTCCTGTGTGATTCTGTCAGTGCCCAGAGCAGCTGTAAATGCCATTTCTGGGATGAAAACCTGGCTCCTCTGTGGCTCAGGGCTCTCCAGGCTCCAGAGCAGACACGGGGCACACCCCAAGCTCTCAGGGGTGCAGAGCTGTGCTGGAGGCACCACACTCACTGTCCATCACATGGCAAAGAGCAACACCACCAGATTATTTTGAGGTCTTCAAACTCTGGCATTTTGGGCTGGTTTGGTGTTGGTTGGGAACCATGATCTGTGCCACAACACAGCAGGGAGTGTAGGGCAGCTGAAAATGAGAGGGAGGAGACTTTTTCATATCTAATAATCATCCTCTGCTCTGGAGCCAGGCTGGGAGAGCTGGGGGGGTTCACCTGGAGAAGAGAAGGCTCCAAGGAGACCTGAGAGCCCCTTCCAGGCCCTAAAGGGGCTCCAGGAGAGATGGAGAGGGACTGGGGACAAGGGATGGAGTGACAGGACAAGGGGGAATGGCTTCAAACTGCCAGAGGGCAGGGTTAGATGGGATGCTGGGATGGAATTCTTGGCTGTGAGGGTGGGGAGGCCCTGGCACAGGTTGCCCAGAGAAGCTGTGGCTGCCCCTGGATCCCTGGAAGTGTCCAAGGCCAGGTTGGATGGGGCTTGGAGCAACCTGGTCCAGTGGAAGGTTGCATGACAGGGCTGGAACTGGATGATCTTTCAAGTCCAACTCAGACCATTCTGTGGTTCCTTGACTTTAAAAAACAACATCAAAAGGAGAAGAGTTCAAAATGAGCCCCACTGACGACACACCAAGGTTTGGCCTCATTACTGTGTTCAGGGTTTATAATATCCTGTGGACTTCTCACGGAAGCAGGACTTGGTCCAGTCTCTGCTCTACAGCTCATCCATGGGGTGGGAAAGGGTGTCCAAGTGTCACAGAGGCCTAAACACAGGAGGGACCCTGAGGAGAGATGGGCTCTTCCAGGCTCAGCTCCACATCAGAGCAGCGTCCTCAGCAGGAGAGCAGCTGGAAATGGAGGTGGAACAAGGAAAGGCACGGCTGCTTCTCACCAGCTGTGCCCTCACACCAGGATCAGGGGTTTTTCCCTCCACTGGAACAGCCTCCCCAGGGCAGTGGTCAAAGCCCCAAACCTGCCAGAACTTAAGGAGCATTTGGACAACACTGTCAGCACATGGTGAGGTTGTTGGGTGTCCTGTGCAGGGCCAGGGGTTGGACTCGATAACCCCTGTGGGTCCCTTCAAATAATCCCTCTCTCTGCAACAGGTGTGTGAGGAGCTGGTTACAGGTGCAGCTGCACAAGGTGGCCCAGAACCTTCCCCGTCCTCAGATTTGGGAGTCTCCCAGGGACCTTCTTCCACATGAAGGAGATGATTCCCCCTCACACCCAACAGCAAACACCCAGATCTGCAGGAGATGGAGGGACCTTCTCTCGGGGGGGCTGGCTCTCCCTGTGCTCATCCTCTCCGTGAAATCAGAAGGTGACACTGGCTGAATGTGACCTCCACGTGCCACCTGGCCCAGCCTCCCAGAGCCCGGTCCCCTTTGGGCTGAGCTGCTCATCCTTCACCGCAGTGAAAGCTTCTCTGTGTGTCCTCACAGGCCCCTCCAGCGACGCCTCTTTCACACCGGGGAGCCCCAAACCAGGCACATCGTCCCCCCGGGGCTGGCGGGGCAGGAGCAGCCCCGTCCCCGCGCGGTCCCTGCCGTGTGCAGTTGGCTTCCTCCACCACTGGAGCCCACTGCTGCTCCGCGCTGGGCTGCACCGCGCTCCCCGGCCCCACCGCACCGCCCGAGGGGCAGCGGGGTGCTGAGCCCCGGCCCTCCCAGCAGAGGGGCTGCCACCACCCTCCCCCAGCGCAGGGGTGCCGGGGGGCTCAGCCGGCTCCCTCCGAGGGACGCTGCAGCTCCCGCCCCTCCAGCCTCTGCGGATGCTCTGGGTGCCTCCCTCGGGTTTGCACAATTTTTCGGTGCTTCCCTCAATTTTGCACAATTTTAGGCAACTCTGTGCCATCATGAGCAGAGTCACCTCCAACCCCCCCCCCCCTAAACCCTCCGGGGAGCCACGGGCCTCTGGGAGGGTGATGAAGGTGCAACACCCTAATTAAAAGGGAAATAAAAGGGGGTGCAGGCAGTCCCTAATCAGGGCAGAGTTAATAGGTGGTGCAGCAGCTCCTGAAAGCTTCCCAAACCTGGCTTTGAGCAAAGCAAAGCCTCTGCAGCTCCTGCTTGGGGTTCTCCAGGAGCTGCCCTGTG